TGGAAAATAATGTCAATACTCAATTCTATCACGAAGGTTTAAAATGGATATGCATTCTTGATGATTTCAAGTGCAAAGAATATATTAATAGTATATTAAACTGGCTTACCTCTTCTACACAAAACAAGTACGTTATTTTACTTTTCTGATAGCAACTCGACTTTCGTGGTTGTCACAAAAACGTCATCTTGTTAGTGAATTTTTATTTTTTGTAATTGCGACATTGATATAAGATCTGATACATTATTTGATACATTATAAACAAAATGTATGGAATAACACTAGTGATAGATTAGTGGAATTATATATAGTTAAATGGAATATATATATTTAATAAGTGGAATTATATATATTTAAGTACACTAATATATTTTATACTTGCAGACTTTTGCCAAGTTGGCAGAAATGGATATATTGCCAAGGATTAAAAACTATCGATTCTGAAAAGTCCGCTTTGTGGCAAACAATATTAAATGAATACCACACAAAAGGAAAACTAGAAGAAGTTATTGAATTCTTAACGTGCTTTAAACAATACGATAATCTAGTTAAATTTCTCCGTTTCCTTGATCGTAACTCTTTACTACAAACTATCGGGAATAAAAAGAAAAGTGTTACTGTTAGTGTACTTTTCAATATTTTTGCGTCGTATTCAAAAACTTCATTTGCGCTGACGAATATATTATTTGCAGTAGAAAATAATATAATAAGGTAAAATCATTTTTTTATATTTATAAAACTTTTCATACAATACGTATATATATTTTACGTTAACTGCATAGTTTTTATATAATCAATTTCTTATTAGAACAGACATTTTTTCTCATAATATATTGTATATAATGCATATTAACAAGTTTACATACTACTATTAAATCTGTTATTTGTTTTGATAGAAACGTGAATATTCTAGCAATAATAAACTGTATTATTAACAACATATATTCAAACCACGGCCTGTCTTTGGTATGTTATAAGATTTCACTTACTTTTTGTAGCTATATATGTCAAATAGAATTTCTTTGTAAGTTTAATATATGTATATGTATATTTATTTGCGTCGAGTTGTATTGTGGTCTAGTTCCGTAAGTGCTTCTTGTATAACAAGAGAATAACTTTATAATATTAAATGGTGTTATACAATGTAAATAAATCACACAACGTCATGATAGGTATATGATTTTTTTTCAGATTACTGACGAAATGTTCTTGAATACATTGCAGCATATACATCAAATGGTAAATGTATTTATACATTATTTAAAATATTATTTTAATATTGTTTTGGATTTGTGCGTAACTCTTTCTGTTTCTTCAGATACAACTTACTGTTTATATGTAAATTATTAGATTTTTATTATTTTTATTAAAAATATATCTCGTACCTCTTATAAAATTTAGTCACAATTACACAGGATTTTATTAAACATATATTTTGTACTCTGTTTTAGGAACCATTTGTTCTTGACGCCATTAGAAAAAAAGCTAAATATCGTCGTAATTTTCTAGGTACAATGCAAACTATACTTCGTGTAAATCCCCAGTATGTGTTTAGTTACAAACACGAGTAAATAAGCTTTTTTAAAGATAATGTACTTTTTGTATTTAAACAAAAATTTTCAATTGAAGAAGTTTACCGATTGTTGTGTCCAAATCTTGTTTTATTTGTTTAAATAAAATTTATTTTATGATAACAAGACAGATTAATTACAAGACGTATTAATTATAGCTAAAATCGGAAATACACGTTTCGGAGTTTACTATTTAATAGTTTGCAAAGTGTTAATCATAAAATAAATTTGTTTTTTCATTAATATACATTAATTATTTTACGCGTCGATTTCTACGTACATGTATATTTAAGTATTGCACACATTAATATAAATATATAAATTACATTAAATAAAGTCGAAGTATCTAGATATAAGAATTTATACAATGTAAGAGAGAAAACTTGATATTACGAAATACCATTCAGTATGATATGTGAGAATATATGTTAATTAATCATCAATATATGTGTAAAATGTTAAATGATAAATGTTAAGGTAGAATTTATTATGTTTGTTCCATAATAAGATATTCAAATTAGTTCTAATAAAAATATAATTTTCACTAAAATTGTTTTAGTATTTTCTAATGTTTCTTTAGTTTTTTAAACTATGCACTTAATTTTCATAAGTTTACGCGTAGACACATTTATATGCATTTGCGTTTTGCGACCTACGTAAAACACCGATCTTTGGATGTTTATTACAATTGCAATTGGTCTTTGTATATTTATCAGTTTGCTTTATACTTATACGCAGTATCAATTAGAAGCGACGATATGATTACGTTAGTTTGAGGAAGTAATGTAACACAATTTTTAGCGGAGATAAGCCAGAGAACAACTATCCTATTATAATTATAATTAGATTAGATAGTATACTATCTTAAAAGGGCCGAAGTACGAATTTTTGCATACTGCACAACGCATACGACATAAGAAAATCAGAGTCTTCCACCCGTATATTTTGTTATTGAAAATTCTGATTGGTTGATTCTTTTGTTTTATGCGTTATGCAATATGCAAAAGTACCATGTGCTCCGGCCTGTACGATTATGTCACATTTGGAAAATTGATTATTCAGGAAGAGAAGTAATAGAATCAAAACAGAAAGTTACACCATAATTTATTTTACGCGTGAGCAAATAACAAAATTAGCTAAGAAAAAAAAACACTTTATGTTTATTGTGCAACTAAATAATATGAACGTAAAATAATGACAAAGTCATTTATACTTTTTAATCAATGTGTTAGCATGTATTCGGTGTAATTTTGCTTTTTTCGCTCCTTGCGAGATGTTCTTTTTGTGTTCTAAGCTTTTCACTTTGCTTTTTTTGAAACTCAACATTTCAGCCAGACTTGCTTGAAATATTGTAAGATGTATGTTGTGTGTGTGCTGTTTATGCGTAATTATACTAGTACTGTATGCAAGGCGAATTTCCTAATTCGTCTATTTTCATAGATATCATATATATCTTAATATATCGCTCATATCTTTGCTCAAACAACCACCATGGATGTTATAAACTCCCATCGATGAACACCCATGTTTGGGTGTTTCACTCTACACCTATGGTGTCCTTGTGTTGATATCATGAGTGTATTGTAAGAACTATGGAAGAGACAGGAACCATAGATATGTTTCTGTGTACCTATGAGCGAGTCAGAAAGTATCACGGGTGTGTGTCTATACAATTATGTCAGAAACTATCATAAGGGTATCGGTACAACCATGAGTAAATCAGAAAGTATCATGGGATGCGTAGTTTTGATGAGCCATATGACTACAAGAATGTCCATACCTGGACTGGTCTTCCTAACTATATCATGATGTATTAGTAGTACAAAATGAACAGGCGTGTGTTACTAAGAAACATCTGTGATAGCCACCTGTCTGTTTTCGCTTTCTTGTTGCCGAAAATAAAGCGTTTGAGTTGAGTTATATTTTTACATGATTTATACAAAAAGAAATAATATATTCCGATTTTAAAAGACTTTCCTATTCTATTTTATTAGTATTTTATTTTAACATTAATTTCTTATGTATATGCATTAATTTTAAACTTTTTCAACTCCGAGTATAGTTTTTAAATATTTATTTATGATGCTCTAGAAAAGAACAATATTACGATACAATGATCAACTGGAATTCGATTTGAATCATATATATAATACTTCTATATTGCTAGTCGCGTATCTTCGCAATGAGAGGCACGAGGCCCGAGAAAGAGAGACGCACGAAGTCCAAATATGGGCATAGATAGTAGAGCGTCATTATGCGCAGGCGCGTCTACTAAGCGAGTGCGAGCGAGACAAAAAATTGGATAGTGAGAGAAAGAACGCGAGAAAGAGAAATGCGCAAGCGTGCTTGAATGTTCACCGCATGCGCACAAAGCAGCTGGACCTTGCGCGAGAGAGAGGCTACTATATTGTCTGCACTGTAACATTTGGACTTCAGGTCGGCACCGTACTAGCAATATAGAAGTATTATATATATGATTTGAATTGACCCTCTTTTAGTTTATTTCCAGTAGCGGCCATCTTGAACCGCCTATTAGGATTACATTCCTACCATCGCAATGCTCTTTCTAGTCCTCTATAAAGCTCGTTCTACATTGATCGCAAGCGCAAACGCAAGGTATAGATCTCGTAGAATTGACCAATCACGCTGGTCAATTGGCTGATTTGATCAATACGATTAGTCAATTCTACCAGACCTGTTCCTTGCGTTTGCGCTTGCGATCAATGTAGAACAGAACTTAAGATATTCCGATTGTTTCTATCTTTACGGCGCTTTTCCATGTAATGGAGATTAACTGCGCCTTCGTTGCTTAAGCGGCAGAAAGATGAAACAGCTATAAAAGTGAGACACAGTCGGTGTTTGGTTTATTTCCCTGCACTGGCTGCACTAGTTCACAATCTATCTTTTTTTATCCATAGTAGAAGGAAAAAAATAGTGCAGGGAAATAAAACAAAACTAGTATAACATATGATAAAAAAACAAACAAAGATGGAACAAATCATACCAATCGTACGTCGCTTGCACTACATTATCACAATATGTATATTTACAACATCAACATTAACAAGACTGTTACTTTTTGAAACAAAAGCTTGAAAGAAAGCCGCTCGCAATGTTATTGCAAAGGTGGTTTTTTAATAAACAGGACTGCCAGCAATATCTCTGTTTTAATAAAGAAATCTTGTAAAACTATACCAATTCGCACATACTTATGTATAATATATTTAATGTACTAAATATTTTTTAAAAGAGAATTTTTTTTCTTGCGCTTATTATACCAGTAAGATGTTTCTCCTTGTTTACTCGTTAGCATGTAAAATTATCGTTCACGCACGAATTAACAAAGCAGTAGAAAAGACTCGAGATAAAAGTATAACAAAATGTATCTATTATATTTATAGGTTTTTAGTACACAATATAGTTATAAAAAGAAACGTCACACAAACATTAAAATATATATCATAACATAAAATATATATATCTCTGTTATTGAAAATCATAAACCTTTGCGTAATGTTTTCCAATTTTATTAACCGAGAAAATCGATAAAAAAATTAGTTCTTTCGAAAAGAAGTTTTGCTGAGCATTAGATTTGCTGTTGATCCAACGAAGAAGAGCCTTGATCAGTTCCTAAGTGCGGAGTCGGACTCATTTGGAATGCGCCAAGGGACCAGTCCCCAACCCCTTGAATAGTGATCATCTGTCTGGAATAAGGGACGGAATTCCTTGTGCGCGCGTATGTTCGCTTGAGTGCGTTTCTGTCTTTCAATCTCACCTTCTGGAATGACTGAACTAGAAGGCTCGTTGAACCAAAGTTACTAATTTTCTACGCTAATGAACTACGCGAGAAAGATCTTCGTTGTCTTGTTGATGACCTCTCGTTGCAAAACAGCGACATGATGCAAAAACCGCAACATGATATATCGAGTGCAAAAGTTTTGACGGGTTTCTCGAAGATGACTGATCCAGTTTTTATGACAGCACTTAGACAAGTATGTAGATATATTATGTACCATTGAAAAAAAAATCATATTTTTAGATGTCATTATATGTACAATAAATGCAACTGCTATTATCGGAAGAACAAGTGAACAAGGTCAAGAGCAGCAAATCCTACAACAAAAGATAGAAACAGGATAGAATAACGGGCCATGCAGCTCAAGGTAGACCGGTGGATAGAATACCTTCTTTTTTTACTTACCTTCTTTTTTATTATTCTCCATAAATTTTTTTCATTAGGTTCAAATCGTTCAGGGTGAAAACAGCAGTGGTGCTCAACTATGAAAAAATTTCGATTGATATTTTACCGATTGTGAATCGTCACACATACGTCATATTGTCATCTATGTGTAGTGTTGTTTCTATGTAAATAATAAATTTGCACTGTCAGAACATATTAGCACACAAATTTACTTTAAATTTTCATAAATCTTAACTTATTATTATTTTTTTTTACGTTAATTTCACTTATAGGCAAGTGTATTTGACATATGACAGAAAAAAATTCAACATCCATTTGAAGAACATTAGTCGTACATGTGCACGCAAATATATATAAAAATAAGATACAAATAAATCCCTTTCTTAATTGAAACAATAGTTTTTCTCTAAATTTTCATTTCTTCTTTATGAAAATTTTACTATAAATATACATATGTTCAAACAAGTGAGCCTCGTATTTTCATGATAATTGTTAAAGAAATGCAAACATAGCAAACGGATCTGGAACGACGGCTACCCTTGTCGGTTGAGTGATCATCCTTGGTTAGAGATCAAATGGTCTCACCTGCCGGCGAGATTCCCCTCTCCCCAGATTTGAGACGCTCTAACACACCTGGTGGTACCCAACTTTGTCTCGAACATACTCTGGTGGGGCCTCTTCAGCCTCGCCGCGATGCATTATATACGTAGGCCCTCAGTTGTCACCGCGACGTCGGTGGAATCGTATTGTGCGTGATCGAAGATTTTTCTGCAATAAAAAACGCGCTTCAGTTTTATTATATATTACCGATTCTTTTCGTTGAAAACACTTATGTCTACTCAAAAAGCGTGTACCAATGTAAAGATAGTGCAAGAGAGATGTTGGCGTCTTCAGAAATCAAAAATGCGTTAACTTGGAATTTAATTTTGGTCTTACGTACGTGTTACCAGTATTGTTTGGAAACAGGTTGGTGTGTACATATATACGTCGGATAATTAATTAATCGTTCTTTATGACAATAAAACAGTTTTGAATCAATCATGCTTGACCTTCCCGCTTCAAGTTTTACCTTGAGCGAGAGTTGGCGATAAATTTAGCAAAAGTCTGCAAGATATTAACTTGATGAGAAACAGGTGATAATTACCATGTGCAGAGCGACATCGTAAATATTAAATGAATACGTGTGTAAACATTATCACAAGCGTTATTAAACATAATTATATTTTATATATAAGTAAAGCAGAGAAAAAAAAAAGTTTAATCATAGCTTTTTCCTCTACAAAATTAAATTAAATTAAACTAATATTTATAAGTAATTTTGTTCATAAATTCCGGTACAGTGAACATGCAGAATATTAGTCTTAGAAAATGATACGATCTAGTTTCGCACGGAAATAGAAAAGCCGCGCGCTATTTGGGTTAGTAGAGACCCGCACCTTCTACATTAGAATTATAACATATTGGCCGGCTTGTGTGTGTGTGTGTGTGTGCATACGTGCGTACATGTATTCTCTCACGTTCATTACGCGCGAATAATTGAAGCAAATTCGAGTCGCGCGATTATCTATTGAATATCTAATGAAAATCGAGCGTGATAGAATGCGACTGGTTTTTTTCGCGTCTGTTAATTGCAGCCACGATTGTCAACACTTTTGTTATATTAATACGTGTGAAATGCATGCAACACATTTTCCGAAAAATTCGACGCGATTCAGTCGCTTACCTAGAATGTTACGATTTATGACTGTCATAAAGTTTTTTCCTGGTATATAAATACTCGCATATCTCTGTTCATTATTTTTCAAGAATATTAAAAAATATAGAAACACATTGCGGATCGATGTGATTACATGAATTTCTACCGGTGGCATATTGATTTAATCTCGTCACTCGTAACGTCGATATTTCAATTGTTTCCAATTAATATTATCGTAATGAAACGGATGTGGTTCTGAGGATTGTGTATGCGCGCGCATTATTCACACATATAAAGCGCCTTGATAAATACAATACGCATACTTGATTTCAACTTAGAAATAACAGTTTAGAACAATTATTTCAAAGTAACTTTTTTTTTGTGATTTATTGATGCAAGTTATAGAATTATTCAAAAAAATGAATCACGCAAGAACGAGTCATTTGTTGAATTGCTTCTCATTCAAGTGAGAAGACTTAATTTACATAGAGTTAAATAACATGTAATACGTACGTTTAATTACATTTACTTTTTAAAGTATCCTTATTTTTTATATCGTATGAAATTACTTACGCGCAATGAAAAGAATTAACGTCGCACCCCGTTTTGTCAATAACTTTTCGAGTACTATTATTTCATTGCTTAGAAAAAAATACGATTCAACGTTATTTTATATTACGATTCGGTGAATGACTAATAAGATACATGTTGCGAGAACATGTAACTCGTTTTGTCACGTAACAGTGACGGTAAAGATCTAATAGCCTCATACATAGTTACGTCTTTAAAAAAAACACATGTTTCTCTACGCCAAGACGAAATAGTAACGCTAAAATGATATCTCATTGTGACCATCGTTCTCTCTATTCATTATTGCTCTCGCACACAATACGCGCGTAAAAGATTGGCATGATATTTCTCTTTGGCGTTATATCATTTTCTTTACTTACTTGAATTTTTCTCGCGTGATTCGTTCTTCTCGCAACTCTCTCACGTCATAGGAAATGCGTTTGCAACAATCACATATTATTGCAGTAATTACGTCAGTGGTCTACATATGCACTTACTTGGTTCACAATGTGTGTGTGTGTGTAAGTATGTGAGAAACGTTAAATATTTTTCAAAGGAAATACCGAATAAGCTATTGATTCGTTAACATCGCTTTGCGCTTTAAATCAATTTTTCGTACGTATAAACATTCTTATTCTCTGTTTTAAATATTTGTTTGTCTTTTTCTTTTTCTGAAACACACACACACATACATACTTTTATCCAATCCGAAAATTGCATTTACGTTACGCAATTTGTGTCCGCTTTCTATTGCCGGTGAATTTTGTTTTGGCAAACGGATTTATGATACCACGTGATGCAGAAATAGAACTTTTAAGCCACGTTCGCAGTTGGCGTTCGAACTGTCGGCAACAAATTTTATAGAGCTAATAAAAAATTCATAAAACTTGATCGTAAAGTTTGGGTGATTTTGTAAGCCTTTTAATTATTCATTTACAATTGCCTGCTGGTTTGAATCATAGTTCAATCGCGATCTTTTAAATAAAAATTTGTTGTCATAGCAATGACGTACTCCGAATCACATAACTTTTGCAATAACCAATCGACACAAATGACACTCAATACGCAGCGGCATGTGATTACATCAAGATTCTCTTTTTTTTTTTTTTTATTGCCTGATTATCGAAGCGCGGCGTCGTCGTCGTCGTCGTCGTCGTCGTCGTCGTCGTTGTACCACTTGTCGAAGCTCTGTGAGCGTGACTTTACTTTCACGGCGCAAAATCCCGAGTTAATGTGTCATTGCGCAACTCAATAAAGTCACACGGTGGAAGTTACTAATCTACTCGCATGCTATTAATAATTATGCAAATGCTATAAATTTGTCTTCTCATTGCGCGAATTCTCACAACAATAATCAATAAGATCGTCCAATCGAACTGGCGGTCGTTTTTTAATTATATAAAAAGTTGTTTAAATTCTTTATTTAATATATAACGTCCGTGCTGTGACCTACCTACGACAGACTTGTGTTCAAGTTACACAGCTGGAAATAAGTCATTTCTCCATTAAGCCCCCTTAGGCGTTTCTCGCACCAAGCACTTTTTCTCGTACAAAAGCATTTCATTCTGTCTCTTTGAATTCTATTTCTTTTGTGCTTAATACGCTAAAATCTCGAAGTTCTTTTTCTCTCATAAAAATGATTCAATGAGAAATTAAATAATTATATGTTTCCTGCTCGTGTTGAGTTTCAATAAAAAGATAGAGACAGCAGGCAGTAACGAGATGTACACGTAATGTTCGAATAAAATTCTTCTTTATTCCGAAGATTTCTTTATTCCGAAGAACAATAATACAAACGTCTCGATCAACTATGGAATCTTTTTCAGTGTCTATACATAAAAAAAATTACAATAAATGCACGATCTATTCGCGACGATAATGAAGAACGTGAATACGGAAAAGATACGCTACAAACATACTCAGTTTGAGGAAAAAAAAAGAGAGAGAGAAGTGGCAATTCAATAATCACGTCAGTTGTATATGCAAGAAGACATCTTTCCGCGAAACATCTTTCCGCTTTGAAGACAACCGACAGACTGAGCAAATTAAATATATTTAACGATTTTCTTTGCTCTTATAACTTAACAGACAAATATTAATCTTTAGAAGACCGGCAGTTTTCTTTTAAAATGTTAACTTTTTTTTAGCAAAAAATGTGCGCATATATAAAACCTACATGTAGCACAAAGTTTCCGAGTTTGTTGCTGACCACTGTAGTGGCCAGAGCGGTTCTTAACGGTATGGCCAATGTTGAAAATTTTCCAAATTTGAAGTTTAGTGGTTCTAAGGGTTTTTCATATGTTGCCAAGTACGATTCTAATGTCAGATTATCAAAATTTTACACAGAAACAGTGTTGCCAAATGAGTAACAGCAGTTACATTCATACATGAAACTTTCCTTCAGCGTTAACCCAGAGCTAACGGACGTAAAAAGTCATGTAACTTTTTTTTTGTTTTATAATTTTTTTGTCATTTTTGTAGTTTTTCATTGTTTTCTTTTATAGTTTATTTTTGCATTTTTTTGTATTGTTTGATTTTGCTATTTATTGTTTTGAAATAGAGAAACAAAATTATAAATGAATTTATCTTTTGCGCATGAGAATTTACGGTAATGTTTCTTTTATATCAAAATTTTTTCAAAACAAGGTGTTACTTATAATGCGGTATTACAAGTAGAACATACCCTCCGAGTTCGACGTCTAATTTGATGTAATGAACACAAATGACACCGTCAATTTCCATCACCCTTTTCAAGCACAAATACATTAATATATATGCATATATATTTATTGTATATTTTTATATGCACATTAAATAGTTACTTATCTCTCTGGCCACCATAGTGGCCATTGCGGTCCTCTAAAGATTAAATAATAATTTCTGAAAGAACGTTTAACGAGTTGAGCTTAGGTTGAGAATCACGTGCTTTTATGTCACTGTCTAGTAAGACATGTATGAAGTAACGTGAGACCTCTGGCAAAAAATATACACATGTCACTTATGCACAGTGCTCCAGCTGACTCGACAAAGATATTGAGAACAACTCATCAAACTCACGCTCGTATCACATTACCCAACTCATATCTTAGTGATTAATCTTGCGTAGCAAAATTATTTTTTTTCTCAAGTTTCAAGTAAGAATTACAATATATATATATATAATTTATATATAAAT